TTCCACACGCCCCGGTGACCGGGGTAGATGACGCATCTGTCCGTCAAGTAAGCCTCGACTACACGACGGAGATAGGCAGGCACCCGGTGATACCGGAGTGCCTCCAAAATGCAGCTCCAGGGGAGCGAGTTAAAGGCGTTGGCGATGTCCAGAGACACCGCCACGACGACTCGCCTCCCGGCCAACGCTGTCCCCGTCGTGAGGTCCCTCACGCGCATGATGGCGTCCACCGTGGAGCGCCCTCTTCGGAAGCCGAACTGGCCGTCCGCTAAATCCGGCCCCCTTCCAGACAGGTGCCCGACGAGGCGGTCTGAGATTATCCTCTCGAACAGCTTTCCCACCTCGTCGAGCAGCACAATGGGCCGGTACGCGGACGGGGAGTCCGCAGGACGCCCCGGCTTCTTCACGAGGACCAGTTTACCCGTCTTCCACGACAGCGGAAACTGGCCTCTCTCCAAACATGCGCTGAACAGACCAAGTAGTCGAGGCCTGAGAGCCTCCGACGCCAGGACCCAGACCTTGGCATGCAGCCCGTCAGGTCCTGGGGCGGTATTCTTGCCGCTCAGCCGGCGCACCGCCACTCTCAAATCTACCTCGGTCACTTCCGGAGCGGATTCGTCGTCGTCGTCGATGTAGCCCGCATTGGGCACCGCAGGGGGCGGGGGCATAGCCGGAGGCGTGTAACCCGTCTGTGGTCGGGGGAATAGCGCCCCAACCACTTCGTCCACGACCTCCGGCCGGAGACTCTGAGTCAGTGGGGGCGCCCAGGTGCGGAGCTTATCGCGCACCATCCGGTAGGGGCGTCCCCACGGGTCTCTGTTCAGAGTCTCCAACATCTCCTCGCGGGCCCGATCTTTGGCCCGCCGGATCTCCACCCTGAGGGTGGCCTTCGCCGCCCTGTACTCCTCGTATAGCTCCGCCTCTCTGGTTTCAGCGTCCAGAGGGCGGAGACGGAGCCTGCGGTGCCTGGTGTATCGGCGTCGCGCTGCGGTGCACTCACCGCGCAGGTCTGCCAATTCCCGCGACCACCAATACACCTGGCGCTTGCGTTGGCACGGTCGGATCCGGGGCATCGCCACGTCGCACATCCTTGACATGGCGTCCTGGAGCCATCTCGCCTCCTCGTTAATGTTGGCTGGCCTGACCGGTGGTATCACCCAGGCCTGCACGACTGCGGCTTCCAGGAAAAGCTCCCGGTCCAGTTGCCTAAGCGCCCAACGCGGGCCACACGGGGCCTGTCTGACTGGTGGGTCTGCGGACTCGGCGGAGACGTCGAACCGTATATACCGGTGGTCCGAAAACGTCTCCACCTCCTCCATGACGCGCCAGTCAACAACGCGCGATGACAGAGCGGGGCTGGCAAACGAAATGTCCACCACTGACTCGCCCCGCATCCGTACGCACGTGGGGACAGAACCCCGGTTCAGCACGACTAGGCCTGTCTCCAGAGCCCAGTCTTCGACCATCCTTCCCCGGACATCAGTGAGCCGGGAACCCCAAGCCAAATTCTTGGCATTGAAGTCCCCGAGGACCAACACGGGGAGGGGACGGAACCCGACGACGACGGTGACTAACTCCCTGAGGGAGTTGTGGAACTCGACGAGAGTTCGGTTCGGAGAGAAGTACACGCCCACCACGGCGATCTCTCCGAACCGAGCCGCGACGCAACCCCTGCCTCGCTGAGGCCCTTCGGGGGTTGGGGTACCGGCGGCGGCCGACGAGATGATGGTCACCGAGCCGTCCAGGTCTGACACCCAGTGTTCCCTGGCTGGAACGAAGTACGGCTCGGAGACCACAGCAACATTGATCGACCACTGCGCCATGCTCTGGAGCAGGAGATCCTGAGCAGCGACGCAGTGGTTGATGTTCGCCTGGAGGAGGCGTAATGGAGCCATTATTGGGTATCCATCACGACCTCCTCTCTGACGGCAGCGGCGACAGCAGCAGTCGCAGGGGTGTTGGCGACTGCGGCGGCAGCGGGAGCGACGGTGGGAGCGGTGGAGGTGGCTAAGGGCCTACCTTTGCTCCTGGGCTTGGTGGGGGGGGAGCAGGTTTTGCCCCCAGCCCGGTGATCGGCCGGCTTGCCAGCCGCCGCACATACTACGCAGTGCGGCGGGGCGGTACAAGCGCCGGCCCTGTGACCGGGCTGACCGCAGCGGAAGCAGCGGTCGCTGCGGTCCACCTCTGAGGTGCACTTGGCACCCACATGGTGACCAATGAGGCAGCGGAAGCACCTCAAAGGTCGGGGTTCCAGCAGCTTCACCTGCGCCGAAACCCAGCCCACCAGGAGCCTTTTGCCCTCCGACAGTTTTTTGGCCGCTGTGACGGGGCAGCTCACTACCACGGTCCGCAGCCCCGTATTGTCCGGGCGGATGGTGCCTGCCTTCACCTGATCAGCAGGGCACCCCCCCGTCCTTGCGACAGCGGCCGCCACCTCGTTCTCCGTCACGGAGTCATCCAGGCCCATGATGCGTAGCTCCAAGCATTTGGGGGGCCTGGACACGCGAGCCTCATCCGCCGCAAGGCACGTCCTGAGCCTCTCGGCAAGGGCGTCAGCGGATGGGCCGCTGGCCGCGCCGGGGACCTCCAGAAGACGGGCTCCAGTCGCGGTGACCCTTACCGCGAACCCGTTAGGGGCCCCGAACTCCGCGGGAGTAACCGTCCCCTTCAATTTGGCGAGGACGTCGCCGTATGTCACCCCCTTCTTAGCCGCGTCCGGCTGTAGCGTGATAACTACAGCCGAGGATTTAGGGGTGAGGAGTATTGCCGCAGCGCGCTTCTCTTTGCGTCGCTGCTGCCGCCGCTGCCGCTGCTCCTTCTTGCGGCGCTTCCTCGCCTCTTTGGCGCTCCTTCTCGCCTGCCCGGCCACCTGCCACTCGTCGCCATCGGTGCGCAGCTCTGATAGCGGGGTTGGGGCTGCAACGGCTGGAATTTCAGCTGCTGCGCCTCTTCGCTTGCGGCTATTTGGTGCCAGAGGCACAGCAGGAGCCGGTGCCGGTTGAGCCATAGGCGTCCTCGTCAGCGGCGGGGCTCTCGGTGGTTTCGCCGCAGGGGGCACTTTCGCCCTTTTCTCCACCGGAGCGTCTGCTCTGACGCCGCGGCTAGGTGGCTGCTTCGTCTTCGCTGCCGCGGCTGCATAAGTGCCAGTTGCGAGCGGGGGTCGAAGGAGCCTACCCTCCAGAGCGTCGAAACGCTGCTGGAAGGCGGCCATCTCCTACCGCATGAGGCCAAGAAGGTCGGCCTCCACTGGCTGCGAGGGTTGGGGACGACCCGCGCGAGCAGCGGCGAGTTCCGCCTTTGCTGCACGAAGTTCCGCCTCCAGGGCAGAGTTCGCAGCCGCTAATCGGGCCAGCTCGCGCCTCATTCCGGCCATCTCTTTTTGCAGAGCGGTCATCTGCCGCTCTGCTGAGCCCTTCTGGGATACCGCCGACATTATTGCGGCCTCCGCGTGCTTAAGCACTCCGTTCCTGCCAGCCTGGGTTTTTTGCCCAGCCAGCATGCGGAGTGCTTCCTTAACCTGGAGGCGGAGGCTCTCAGCGCCGCCTGCAGAATCCTCACCTCCGGACACCTCCATCTCCGAGGAGTCCGAGGGGGCAGCCTTTCCCAGGGCGCTCCCCTCCGCTGCCAGCCGCTCTGCCGGCTCAGAGCGGCTCCCAGCCGCTCTTGTGGAGCCCTTCCCCTTGCCCCTACCCCGCGCAGCCGTGGGGATTTTGGGGGCTGGGGCCTCCTGCTCGATGGAGGACGGCTCTCGGCCATCCTCCAACCTGGGACGTTTGAAAACGCCCCGGTCTTTTTTGTGGCGCAGCGCGATGCTGACGCCAGACAATGATGAGTCGGACTCTGAGTCCGACTCCTTCCTCCCCGGGGCCCGTGCCCGAGACTTGCTGGACGGGGCCAGCGCCTCCCCACGAACCCGAGAGCCAACCTGGCCCTCGCTATCGCCTCCAAGCGAGCTGACCTCGCTTGCCTTCTCCTCACCGGTAGGTGGATTTTTATTATTTTTGTGTTTAGACATCTCCATTGAAGTCCCACGAGTATGGGGGAAATAAGAGGTCCGCCCAGGGAGAGCCCCCTGTCCCTGGGTAAGTGTGCATTTGTCTCCCAACTAGGGGGTCCACCGGTCCCCTAGCTGGGGGTGCGCTCACGACTGATCCTACTCCTCAGCCATACATACCCTCGCCGCGCACCAGAACTTAGTATTGGAGGAATTTTTTATAGAGGTTATCTTCCTCGCGGTCCGGGCGGTTAAGCCAAGACCCTCGTCCCGGTCCGAGTCATAAAACATGACCATGATCTCTTCCCGGATTACGATATCGACGGGTGCAGTCGGGCGCAGCTAGTGCCCCGATGCTACTCATTGGCAGGGTGAGTGCACAACGAGCGCCGCCCTTGTTTCTCCGCCCCGCTCTCTGCTAGGTCCAGAGAGTCGTGCGGAGGAACGCCCCCACGGAGGCGTAGACTCTATGCCAGCATAGAGCCGGTCGCCTCTAGAACCCGACCGGGTTCTCCGCCCGGCCAGAAGTTCGCTGCGGGCGACAGTCAGACCAACCCTGTCACCATCCCGTTAGGGAGACTGTCGCCCGCACCCAGGGTGCACCACGGGGAGGTCTTCTGGCACGCACCCCGCATTTTATGGGTTTGGATTTTTATTATTTATGGATTTTACGGACGCAGTACAAAGATTTAATGTTGAATAAATTATTATTTGTAATGTGGATTTTATTGTTTAGTAAAAATTATGACTGTTGTGTGAATGTAGATAGGGATCGTTTGAAAATAACATTTGGAACTTTATTGGAACTAGAAAATGTATTATTGATAAAAAAATACAAGTCAACCGGCATTTCCTTTGTTACATTTGTGCCATACTAGGTAGAATAATCACTCTACACAGGTATAACCACCAACCCCACAGCGCGTGCCACCACAGACCGCAATGACATACTAAAAGAATACAAAAAAATCGAGTGGATCGAGGCAGAATGTTATATTGAAGTACATCACGCGTCGTAGTACATATAATCCATAAGCAGAGCCGCAGCTAGGAGCAGGCCTTTCTCTTCCACTGAGATACTTCCATCGAAGGTCACGCCAAACCTAGAGAAAATGCGAATTAGACTTAGTAGATCATAATTACATCCAAGAGCAGGAGAGCCAAGCTTCAGTACGGATTGGTCAGTGATCCCAAGGCCTCACAGAAAAACGGCGTGAAACAACGTTGTGATTCGCGGTGTAAGTGAGGTTACCGAAGGCCCAATACTTCTCCTCCCTTCATCCCTCCCCAACCCCTAAATCTTCAAAGTCTTTTGCATTTGTAAATCATCCGGTGTTACGGGTGTCCATGCTCGGCACCGATTCGCTTATTGCATACCATCAGGTAACCCATCACAATGTGATGTGTGATAACCACATGGTGTACAACTTTATATTACAGTTTTTATAGGTCGGGTGCGATTCATGCTATGAACATTTTGCGTAGCCCAAAATAGAATATTCACTTTTATTTCATTACATTTGTCAATGTACCCTAAATGCTATGAGATTATTAATTCTATCCTATCTTTACTATATATTTATATTTATATTTTTATCATATATATGAAGAAATTGTTTGTTTGAACGCGCTAATCTCCGGAACTACTGGTGCAAATTTAACAATTCTTTTTTCGTTTGTTAGTCCATTTATCGAGGAAGGCTATAGTCAATAAAACATCACACTGCGATCTGTAGGAGCAGAACAGCGGGTCAATCAGTGCGAGATTAGCTAGTTCGCAAATAAGAGGGAAATCGCAAAGAATTAACTAGGCTTTTGAAAAGCTCGTTACAAAACAATGTACAATTATTAGCCGACAATAAAAGGTGGTAACCAGTCAACTAACTTGTCAGAAACTGGAGCGAGGATCAGCGCATGTTTTAGCCCCTGCCAGTGCCTGCTGGTGGTGCCAACTGCTGTGCCATCAGGTCGCAGGATCTGGAAGTGGACGTCTCGGAAACAGCTCAGTGTCACGTAAGGACCTGTTGGAAGAACAGCAAATAAATGACAATTAAGATCACTTATAAGAAATGTAGTGTTAATGAAATAATTATTTTTATTGCGAGTTGATTAAGATCATTTTGGACATAATTACCTATCTAGGTAATTGTAGCACAGCTTATAATTTTTTTTTATTTTGAAATACTTTGCCCTGCACTAGGATTTTCTTTTGCATCGTAAGTGTCTTAAGAAACATAAAAATTTACACACACAAGCGGGTGGCTTGTAGACCCGAAACAAAAGTTGTGGATAACACAGTGTTGCTCCGAGCGGGAAACGAACCCACAATAGGTTACACAGCAGCCAGATGCCCAGCCACTCCAATCTGCCTTTGTAGGACTCTTTAAAAAATGTTTTTATAATTTCATATTAATACTGTTAATGAATTTTAAAACCAGGATAGAGATATATCCACTCCGGGTCATGTACGAGTTTTTTAAGTTTTTTAACCAAACTACGTAAGTACACTATACAATACTACTTCCAAGAAGAACTCACCATTTATACAAAACAGAGTATCACCATCACAGTTTTTGATTATGTACATGGGTCTGACGGCTGACCACTGCTGTTCCACGCTGCCAATCAGCTGTCCAGGAGGCGAGTATACTTCCAGATGCTGGAGCTGACATGGGAACACCCTGGCGGTGCACGAGTAGTATCGATGTATCCTCATCACTTCTGTGCCCTGCACGTTCATCACCCTTAGCTCTAATGGACGTAGACCGTAGCAGAAATATCCAACCCACCAGTGGCTGAAATAAAACGACAAAAAATATATAGATCTTGCTTCGGCCAGCGGCTTCATCTGCGTGGTATGTTGATAAAAAGTAGCCTATGTCCTATTCTGAAGTGTATCCTACGACTGTGCCAAATTTCATCCAGATCCATAAAGCCATTTTGGCGTGATTGAGTAACAAACATCCAAACATCTTAACTTTCGCATTTATATTATTAGTAAGAAGTAGGATAAGAAATAAGATTGTATTTCATTGTAAAACTTACTTATTTTCCTCTTCAATAGTATATAACAGTTTCTGGTCGGAGCTCCTAACAGAGAACCTATTCTTCTTCCCTCGTAGGAACAACACGTTCTTGATCCGCAACCTCTTGGTGATCTGCAGCCTGTCAACTGGCAACAAGTCCTGGAGCAGAGGAAGCTCTGGAAGCTCTGTCTGGAATCGTCAACATTCACTTTTTTATGTGATAATTCGGCATACGAGCAGACGTATTTCCTGATGGTAAGCAATCAGCGCCACCCATGGACATCCGCAACAACAGAGAAGTTACGTTGCTGACCTTTTGGGGATTACAGATTTGGAGATTTAGGGATTGGGGGAGGAGAAGGATAAAGCATCCGGTAACCTCACTCACACGGCGAGACACAACGCTGTGATTGTTCCACGTCTGTTTTCTGTGAGGTCGTGGTATCACTCCGGTCGAGCCAACCCATTCGTGCCGAAGCATGGCTCTCCCACACTCACATTTCATCTACTTAGAAGTCCAAAGAATAATGCCAAAATGTCCCCATTTTTGTAGATCTCGAACCTTTGCCAATCGAGGGAGAGTAGCTAGTTGTCAATATTTAAGGTTCTTATGTACAATATTGTAATCCAAACATTTTTAAGCATTTCCTTTTCTTGAAGAAAACCTACTTCATTCTTAAAAAATACTCAAAATTTTCCCTATTCAAAAATGAAGCATCGTAAAAAAAATCCGTTCATAAGTTTTGTAGCGAACCGGCAGACGTAAGTTTTCGCATAATTTATTGCTAATTTATCCATAATACATAGGTAAATTGCCTTAGACATAGCGCGCTAATTTTAACCTGTTTACAGGTCATTCGTAAATGATACATTTCTATAATTAGATCATGAGGAATAGTCATGACGTCAATACTGATTGAATGGCTACTTAGCAATTAGCTATATCTTGTACCTTAATAATGACGCACGTTTGCTATCAATATCTTAATTCTTTGTTGTATTTAGTAAAAACAAGTATCTATTTACATAATGTTATTACATATTATATTGAAAATTAATATAGGTAGGAAAGTAAGGTGGATCTTGAGAATTACTCGCTACTGTTAAAGAAAAAAAAAGGAGATTTTTTTTAAACCAACAGTTTTTTTTATACTTTTTGAAGACTGTACGTAGTGGACAGAAAGGTATGAATCTGGTAGTAGAGCATTGTTTGTCACGGATTTTACAGAAGTTTGAAGTTTTCTAACTAAAGGTTTAGATGCCTTTTGAAGATAATTAATAATATTGGACAACATCACATACTCCCGATCGTATATATATCGGAAGTAATGATGGTTTCAAAAACTACTATAGTTAAGGCATTAAGACGAAAACAAATAAACTTTGGTTAAATGTGATAATCTTAAAAATATTGTATTACCTTCAATGTACCACTTTTCTAGTACCAAGTAAACATTGATTTGATTTGTTTACATCAACTCGGCCGGGAGCGAATCTGGGACCTCGGAGCTTGTCGATATCATAAAAGCTTAAAAATCACCTAGCATCAAGATTGTCCCACATGGACGTATCTAAATGTATGAAATTATATGTGTCATGAAAAATCATTAGCATAATTAATAGAGGAAAAAATATCAACAATTAATTGATCCACGATGTTGGTCATATTTAAATTCTACCTAGATCAACCAATTTCAACACTTATCCTAGTCCTGATTCAGTTCTTCTACCCACCTGAATAGGTAGCAAAGGTTCCTCAAGGCTCAAAGCTGCCTGGGGTACAAGCTTCACGGCCTCAGGGTAGGGAGTATGTGGGGGTATCGGGCTCGCTTGCATCATCATCATCATCAGCAACCAATAAATCAGCTACCAATTTATAACCATGATCATCAAAACGTGTTGAAGTGTGTCACTTTGATTTGATAGATCAAGAGATTTAATACTCTTTGTGTGTTTGACAGTGCATAGATAAGTATGGCATAGATTTGGAGAAACAGGATCAAAGAATGCAGTCTTTTATACTTAGTACCTATATCAAGCACCTTTTCTACAAAATAATACTTCGTGCAAATTGAATAATAGGTCACCAAGGATTGACTCAGATCAAGAATATGTGCTGTCTATGATTATAAGATGAAGGAAAACATCGTGAGGAAAACTGAAAATTTCTAATTACAAGTTTGAAATTACCAATCCAAGTCCAAATCCAAGCAAGGGTGGTTATTCAGGCTCAAACCTTCTCTGTGTGAGAAGAGGCCTTTGTTCAGCAGTGGGCACTTATAGGATAATGATGTTATGTGATGTGTGGTTTTAGTCATTATGAGGACGTGAAGAATCATTCGATGATTCCCCCCCTCAAATAATATAAATAAAATAATAATTATAGTAAAATGTACAATCTATTAAATGAACTGGTTTCCAATGTCAAAAATAATCCCCATTAATAATATTTTCAATGCATTTTATTGATTCCCGAGCTAACCCATAAAATAAATTCGCAGTTACGCTCTGAATAAATGCAAATGTTCGGATTATTATTACGAATGTGAAATTGGGGGAAATTATTTAAATTTGTGTTAAAAAAACTAGGAAATTGTATCGCTTTTATCAATCGGGTGCAACAATATATGCTATTTACAATAGTTGTACGGTGACCAAGCATTTTGAATTGCGAGATTGTGTGCATAAAATTATAACACACAGGAATAAATATTTAGGTTCTTTATGTGATAGGCTAACGAAGAGATGGATTATCTGATGGCAAGCAGCCGCCGCCCATGGACACCCGTAGCACCAGAGGAGTTGCTAGTGCGTTTAGATTCAGATCAGATTTAGGTATTGGGGGAGGGGATGTTCAGAGTAAAGGCAATTAAAATTACCCTACCAGCTATGAAAATGCTACGTAAGTACATGGTATAATTTATACACAGCTAAATAAAAACAGTAGGTAAGTAAGTGCAAAAAAATATATATTTATTTGGTAATGTAAATTAGTTCATAATTGGTTCACAAAAAACAACTTAGTACTTAATGATAAAAAGACGAAATGCATTAGATTTATTTTGCCAAATGTTAAAAGTAACGTATGCGATGATATATTATTAAATGGTCAGAAACTGGAATTTGTAAAGGAGACCACATTCTTGGGGATTACTGTAGACGACAAGCTGCAATGGGGGCCCCACATTAGATCTCTAGCAGGGCGGTTGAGCTCGGCAGCTTATGCTGTCTGGAAGATCCGTCAGCTAACCGACGTAGGCACGGCACGACTAGTGTACTTTAGCTACTTTCACAGCATCATGTCGTATGGAATTCTGTTGTGGGGACAGGCATCCGACGTTGAGTCTATCTTTATCTTACAAAAGCGTGCAGTCAGAGCTATCTATAACTTAGGTCGTCGCGAATCTCTCAGAGAAAAGTTTAAGGAGATCAACATTATGACCGTACCATGTCAATATATTTATGAAAACATTATGTATGTTAGGAAAAACCTACAGCTATTTGTAAAAGTATCTGACAAGCATGACTATCCTACTAGACATAGAAATAGATTAAGTCAGCCTTTATTTAGATTAGCAAAAGTGCATAAGTCGTTCATGGGATTATGTGTTAAATGTTATAATAAAATCCCAACTGAAATACAAAATCTTAATGAAAGTAAATTTAAATTATGTATAAAGAAAGTATTATGTAGGAAAGCATACTACAAACTAAATGATTATATAGAAGATAAAAATGCTTGGAGGGTGGCTGGTTTGACTGCACAGGATAAAAATTGTTAAGGTTAAGAGGAATTTTGATCTCAATTATTAAATTATTTACCATGTTGTTAATTGTTGATAAACTGGATTTTTGTAAATGTGAGAGCCCTGTAACTTATTAAAATTGAGTTAGACTTATAGACTTATAGTATATTGGTACTTGTGTCAGTTGGGAGTTGTCATGCTCACTCAGGAGTCTCATTGGCGGTGGCACGGGCACTGGGCCGCTCGGTTCCCTATAATATGGTTGAGTTGGGCGGTGCTGGTGTACGTGTCATGTTCGTGAACGGACGCCGCCTATTGGGACTGGTCAACTCGAGACTGTCTAAAGTTGCTGTCCCTGAGGGTTATTTCTTTTTCGGATACTTTGGTTAAACACTAGTGTTACACTGTTCTCACATAATGGAACTATCTAAATTATGTAACAATGCATTGTAAAAAGTGATTGAAAAAGAGTAACCATGGAGTTTCTTGCTCGTTCTTCTCCATAGGAATCTACACTTTGGAACGAGCAAGTAGCTTCACTAGAGGACAGACGGACAGACTGACACATAAAGTTAAACCTTATGTTATCTTTTTTGCTTGACGTTCAAAAGTGCCTTTTTTGGTCTATTTGAAATAAAGAATTTGATTTGATTTGATTTGATACAAATATTTATTAAATAAGCTTCACAAAACTCAAGTATACGTCCATTTTCTGGTAACAATATACTTACCAAAATGTCCCAAAATAGTCAAAAGTAACTTGGTCACCGTCCTTTTTAATGGCGCACGCGCCGGACCGCGCACCATTTTATGCAAAAACGCAAATTTCGTTCGAAATTTGAAACGCTTCATTGTGTTGCCAGCTTGAATGAATAAAAATAATTGTTGCCAAGTTGAATTTTTGGGGGGAAATGGCGTTTTGCGCAGGTCTCGCCTATTGTGTGCGCAGGAGTGTGCCGAATAGAATTAACGATAGTTTTTATGCAAGCGACATTTTGAATTAATAAGGATTTTTGCATGGTCAAACTGCATATTGATTATTTTGAGAATGTGAGGGTCCTTGATGTGGGGCACTGTTGTACTAGGTCAGTTATTGTTGATGTTTTTTGAAGTTATATAGATTGGAGGAAAGTTCAGTTATAATAATGTGATTCTACAACAAAATATATTGGGTTTTTTAAATACGTTGTGGAATCACAAAATCTTCACAATTGGCAGCTAAGACTGGTTTCATTATATTTTTATAGTTTTGATTGCACGGTTGGTGCGGTTCCCGCGCAACGTGTTGCGGGTTCGATTCTCGCATGGAACAACTCTTTGTCTGATCCACAAATTATTGTTCTGGGTCTGGATGGCATATGTAAGTATGTGGAATTGTAAGTTTGTTAACGCACCCACGACACAGGAGAAAATCTAGTGTGGGCCAAAGTTTTTTGACAAAAAGAAAGAATCACGAAATTTGTTCGTAGGTATGTATTTGTGTAGGGATAAAGATAAAAATAAAAGACTAATTCTCGTAAATTCATTGTTATTCACTTTTTGTACTTCAACATTTTTTAATCTCATACAATATTAAATAACATTCATACAATATAATCCTCTGTTTGTGTTTCGCTCGATAATTTGAAATATTTCATACATTTTTATTTCATTTTAGGTCCATATTAGGATGTATCAATTAATATAATTGACGTTTATTGCTCTGTTTAATAATATTTTGAATTTACAACATGATTTTGGATGACAAAGAAATATAATAATAATAAAACAATTAAGAAAACAATCTTGAGCTTACAATACTAAAATTCAATTAAAATTTTAGAAAGTATTGCCATCAATATCATTAGAAAACGTACAAATTAAAATAAAATTGTGAATGAAATAAATAATTAGATAAAAGTGTATCTATATTATAATAAATAGCCAGATATCTACACTAAATCGTCTAATTCGAGCGAAATACTAGATACATACATAATAACTTGCGCTCAGTAGTAATAATATTAACAAAAACGAACATTATTAACTAACAATAAGTGATAAGGCTCACTGATTCGCAACATCTCTTTCTTATACCTTAGGGGAAATACGTTTTGTTCGTAATTCGAAACAACCGTACAGAGTTGCCAGACATATTAATTAATTTCGTACAATTTTGGCTGTAACGTTTTAAAAAACGTATAAATATATTTTATAACTGGCAACTTTTACGGTTTGTTTTGTTTATAGTCGTCGCGACTTAGTTGGAAGAACTGACTTATGTATCAGTTTTCATAGCTGTTTGCAGTCAGTCCTCCAACATTAATATGGTCAAAGTATCAAGAATATCATAATATAATGAAATATAGTAAATTCATCATAAAAACTTAACAAGTACATAGTGTTTCTCTTAACCAGTGTTAGATTTTTAACAAAAATCTTTTTACATACGTTTTTTTAGAAAAAATTCAAGCTTTTCCTACTAAATTGGCTAAAAAGCAAGGCACTTCGTGATAAAATATCTACTAAGTTTATTATATACAAAAATATAGCTTGTATATCTAAATAAATATCATCTAAAAATATATTTCGTATCACAATGATTTAATTCTGTACAAAAATGTGGTCCATAGGTTTGTTTATCCCAGTTTCGTTATAATTATATTGTTTATAAAAAATATAGCACCTCTGTGTAATTTATAATACTTTTATATTATTAAATTAGTGTTCAATTGAGAATTCTATACATTTATGTTGTGTAAATTTTATCCAAATTTTATGATATCAATTTGGCATTTTATACTTTAGCATCTAATATGGAAAGTCCAATTTACGTTAAAAGTTTCCAAAGTCGTATTCAGATTAAAAAAAGAAATAGATTAGCTGCAATTCACACAAAATAAATTTATGTACAATATGGCGGTGTTGCAACACTTAAAAATTGTATTAGCTACAAATGATTTTGAAAAGTACATATTTTCAAAAACACAGTTTCGGTAACTCAGCAATCACATATTTCTTATATTATGTAAAACCTAAACTAATAATGAATTTTTACTAAATATAAGAATAATATTTACATTCTGTTTGACCTTGAAGATTTGTGTAATTTTCTAAAGAAAATTTTAAATGACATAGCAACATTGCTTGCGTTTATATTTTCTACTTTGATCGGTAAACATAAGCCATAAGTATTACAGATACTATAAACAGTATTGCACTAAGTTATATATTTTTTGAGAAAAGTCTGTGTTACATAAAATACAGTTTTTTTGTGTTTCGTTCAACTGGGATTCTGTTGTTGTCGTGAATTTGTGTTAATATATGCATATGTTACAGTACGCAGTTTGTTTTATTTATTAAGATATTTCTGTTTGAAGAACACCCATTCAGAAGTGTTTGTCAAATTTGACGTTTCTGACAGGTGTCAAAAGTGACATCTGTCAAAAATGGTACAACATCAAATATTGCTTAAAATTTTTCGATATACGATATAAAATCTTCATACATTAATATCATCATTTGAGATATTCAACTTGTACTGTCTATACATTCAACGCATACATTCTCCTACTTAACCCTGGTTTTGAACACAAATCATCACTAGAAAACATCGATTTTGGTTCCGTACCTGTTACTTTGAAAGGTAACAACTGCATATGAAACTGATGACGTAATAAACTAGTAGAAATATAAAATAAATTATATTTTTGGCAAATAGCAGTAGATAGTCATACCATCTATTTTCAATATCTAAGTTTTATTAATGAAATAAAACAGTGAAATTAAGTAATTTGCCGTTAAAATACATAAAAAAGAAGTAATCCGTTTTCTTTATACAGTCATTAGGCTAGAATGTCGATATGTAGATTCTTATTTCTAAGTAGATATGCGATTAGGAACAAATAGGGTAGGTACGGAACGTTGTGTACGTCAGTTCACTGTCTTAATGAGAATCTTATTCGTTAAGGCACTCAAGCTCGTCTTTTTCACTCAAAACTTATGGAAGAGATCTCTAAGTTGTGTTTTTTGATGATGTATGTTAACTTTTTAAGCTACCAATACTCTTAGCCAGGAAATTCTATATCGCTCCAATGGAGCATAAGTTTTGTAAAACAACGCCATCTCTTGTTTAGGACTGAAACTATTGAGACGATAAGGTCCGTTTTCTTTTGTCGTCACATAAAAAAATATAACATCTTATTTGTTATTGACAAAGACGCCCCTTTTCAATACCAGACAAGATTCACATATATTTTTATATAATTTATCAGTTGCTTGTAACAAAGTTTTCCGATTTTGATAAGAGATGGCGCCACGTATAACCTGTGTCCTTTATGCTCCGAGGTCCATGTCGAAGCAATGCTGCCTTGGATGTGAGTGCGGGGAGTGAGGTGCGTGGTGGTGGCCTAGTAATAATGCTGGTAGGCCTTCGCCTAAGGCCAGGCCTGCACCCAGGCCTAGAGCGCCTTCTGATAGGAGGGACGATGAACCTGCAAAAAAATCCCTTGTTATTACTTACTTCTAATGTATATTAAAACTTTAATTGTTAGAGAAAAGAAGAGGTGACAGGGTAGTTAGTTAGTCAGTAAGAATCTGTTTCTATCCACCTTTTCACCAGACGACGAAGAGTCCCGACCCTTTAAAGATTTTTGAATGATTTTCGGCCCAAACTTTCTACTTTTCATTACACGGTTTTACTTACTTTTATGCTACAAGCAAAATAAAGAGCTTTGTTTTTAGTTTGAAACTTATTACATAAGTTTTAAAGCTAATATATTAATATAGGTTGATTATTGCTCATTTAACAATCTACTTTAATTACTATAGATTCAGGATAATTTAAAAATATAATACACAGAAAGGCGGCGTGATACAAGTACTGAGTTGTGTTTCCTTCCGTGTGAGAGAGAAAAATATCCTATCCTATATATCTAAATCCCTAAATCCGCAAAAATAATCATCTAATTTATAAAAGGTTAAAGGCAAAGGAAAATTCCTCAAGTGATCTAGCTTGCTTTGCCGCTTTATCGTATAAAAAGAAACCACTAAGATATAGTAGTTTCCAACAAGTCAAATTCAATACTTTTATTCAAAAGTCAAAACTATACTTTTCTATGAAATTTGTATGAAAGGCCAAATTATGACGTCATAAAATTTTTACCTCAAATAGCTTACTTATTTCTTAAAAATTTGCTAAAACTATGGAATTATTGTATCGATGAATGAAAGTACAGATATTTTTCAATATTTTATTGTATCGGAATCTACACTTTGGAACGAGCAAATAGCTTCACTAAGAGGACTGACCGACAGACTGACACTATATCTTAAAAAAATTGTTTGATGTCAAAAGTGTCTGTAGGGGTCTAATTGGAATAAACGATTTTTACTTTTTGACTTTTGTATCGAAGCGTCGAATTATATTTATTTTTGAGTTAAAAAGGTCAAAAGTGTGTATCTCACCAGCAGTATGGAAGGTGTTGGAGTCATCGTGCAGCATGGAGGAGATGTTCCTGTCGGCCGCCTCCGCCACCACGTTGCTGAGGCACAGCTGGGACGTCGGGGACGAACACAGCATCGGATCACCTTCACGAAAAAAGTCAGATTATTCCTTTTTTATTTTTTTTTCAAAAAAGTTACCCCACACTAGACTTTTCTCCTGTGACGTGGGTGTGGTTACAAACATACAATTTCACATACACCCAGATCCGAAACAACAATTTATGGATCACACAAAGAGCTGTGTATCGATGTCGATGCCGCGACACATTGCACGGCAGCCAGTTGCCCAACCACCGCACCAACCGTGCAGACAAGTGCAGTCAATTGAATTCTACACTAAGGTCCACTACTTACACTGATATAATAAGTCATAGTTTTATTGTACCTTTATTATTTTGATTACATTCTGTTTTACCTAATAATAGGTAAAAAGTACTTGACAAATAGTGGAATTCAGAAGTTTTTTTTAAATTTATTTTAAGATCATATATTAAGATTATTTATTTATTTATCACAGTATATTTTAACCATTACAGTAAGGAAGGTGTTGTTGTTATTGTAACATTATATACTATTTGCGTTAAATAACACACTAAACTACCTAAACGAACGAATACGAAGTATATAGCAAAATCAAATAATGTATTTGAAAGAAGAAGAAGAAAGAAAGAAAAGAAAAAAAACGCACACACATAAAACAAAAATACAAAAAAAAGGAAGAAAATAAAATAATACAAAAAATCTAAACTAAATGACACAGATAAAAATAAAATGGTTTTTAGAAACAAACTAAATAACAAAAGAAAAAACAAAAAGTTATTTGTTACTGTTTTTTTCTATTTATATTTTTATTGCATTGAAATATAGGTTTATAGGATCTATTGTGCAATGGTTGGGGACATAAGTAATTGGTATTGGTAACATGTTTTAAATTTATGAAATTAAACTTTCCAAATATTATTAAAGTTACCTTGCGTGACGGGGTTATGTGAGTCATCATCCATGAGGTCCTCTATGTGTGCCAGGTTGAGCACCGCGTCGCTATCCTCGTTACTCAGCAAGTTCGGGGTGGGGGACAGTCGCATCTGTTCACATACATATAAGGTTTATAATTGAATGAAATTGTTGACTCATGAAGTCGTGGTGGCCCGGAGGTTTAGGCAAGTACCAATGTGACATTGCCGAGTTATATGCACTTTTTATGACACCACTGACAAACGGTGAAAGAAAACATCGAGAGGAAACTTGGACTTATAATTTCTAAAAATAAGTTTAAAATCCAATCCACCTTGAGCAAACGTGGTGATTATTGATTAAACCTTCTCCGTTTGAGAAGAGGCTTCTGGTCAGCAGTGGACACTTATGGGATGATGATGATGAATCATATTTTTTATAGTAATTACCTTAATGTCTTTATGATTGAAGAGGTGGTCTGCCACGGGTTCCAGACACAAGTCTGGCTCGAGACAGCCCAGGGATAGGCCTTCGTCTCGACTTAGGGGGGAACAGGAACCTAGTTTTAGACCATCTGTAAATAAATAAAATAAATAATTTTAATGAAGTATTCATAAAGTATTCCATTAGTCTAGAAGTTACAGCAGTAAACATTTAAGTGTTTGTATTATTTGTTTCTCTTAAGGACTGAATGCTTTGCACGTAGTTGACACGGATTCGATTCTCGATTGGAATAACTCTTTCCACTCAATCTACAAATTATTGTTCAGGGTCTGGGTGTGATGTGTGTGTGAACGTTTTGTAAACGCACCCACGACACAGGAGAAAATCCTAGTGTAAGGCGTTTAACGACAAGGATCAGTTAATGTAAAGCCAGACACACACAAAATGCTGTAAGTACTATAATTTGTTATATAGATATTAATATGTTATACATTATATAGTAAATAGGTATGAAATAGTCTTAACTTTTAATAAAAGATGATTTTGTAAGATTTTTCCCGTTTTTGTTTGTTCACGGTTATATAGTATATTATACATACATTTATTTCAAATAACATTATAGGCAATTTTGAACGTTAAATAGAAAATAAGTGTCAAAAAGTTCAACTTTGTGTCAGTCTGTCAGTCTGTCCTCTAGTGAAGCTATTTGCTCGTTCCAAAGTGTAGATTCTTATGGAGAAGAACGAGCAAGAAACTCCATGGTTACTCTTTTTCATTTTTGGCAGACCATTGTAGGTGATGTTTGGTGAAGGCTTAGTATATATAATGCAAGGTGTGAGTACCAATAGCTAGGTATTGAGGAGTCGTACCGAGCGCGTCGAGGGCGGACAGGCACTCCGCGGAGGGCATGTCGCGGAGGAGGTCTGGTGGTTGCTCTCCGAACTCCATCAGCGAGGCTGGCTCTGATTTTGGTAGTACAAGCTCCTGGAATTAATGATAAGATTAGTTATTGTGTATTTAGGAATTTTATTTTTGTGTAGGTATTTAAAAAAAAACAGTGTTGATCGTGATTTTGTTGGTTTAGCTGCTTTCACGCGGTTTCACCCATTGTTCAGCTTTTACAGATCATAGCGTGATGTTTTATAGGCAATTAGCCTTCCTCAATAAATTGTCTTGTCAGGTTAAAAAAAAATTGTGTTTCAGGAAAAAAATAAAATAAAATATTGACAGTGATTAAAATGATGGGTTTGACCATCTTTTTGGGGCTTCTAGTTCATTTATTGTCATTGACACTTGAAATGACGCAAGTGAGATAGTTATAATTCTATGTAAGATTAAGTTATTAAAAACTTCGCCCGCATTACTAGGGCAAAAAGCTGTCTATGCGTTATCCCAGACTATATATAATTCTTTTCTATTTTGACGTTTCAAAAGTACCTATTGATGGTTTAGTTGGAATAAATGATTTTGATTTTGAAAAAAAAAAAAAAAAACTATCTCTGTCTCGTTCAGATCTGTTCAGTTTTGTTAAGCAAAATAATCACACAACCATTCGTGTATCTACATATGTTTAAAAAATTATCATCGATATAAAATAAGTAAGGTAGTATCAGATACAGACGGGCGCCGGCGTGGGCGTAGAAGGTGTAGGCTGCGCGTGCGCAGGTAGTGCGGCGGGCGCGGCGTCGGTGTCGTGCGGCGGGGGCGGGGCGGGCGCGGCGTCCCCCAGCGGGGAGCTGCCGCCCTCCACCGGCAGACCGTGCACGCGGGCCAGCCGCTCCAACTCCTGCAGAGAGGGGAAGGGGGTTAGAACCCATACTAGGTTTTTGTGGATCACACAAAGAGTTTACTTTACTGTGTGACAGGATTTAACGCGCCCTTCATATTACTACTTTAAGAAAAAAAGAAAATAAAAAAAGAAACCCGTCCAACAGTAAAATAGTTAAATGCAACGCAAAAGTTTAAACTACAAATAACACAAAGTATTGTACCGTGCGGGAATCAAACCCGCACTACATTGCGCGGAAGCCAGTTGCCTAACCGCCACGCCTACCGCGCAGTCAAAATTCCAGGAACCAAATAGTTAAGAATCACTAAGCTACTTTAGAATAAACTTATACATCTTAGAATTCATTTATCATCATTCAAAACTAAGCTTCAAAATTAAACTACAAAATTCCACTTCACGAACATATCTAAATACATACTGCAAGTAATAATGTATAAAGACTTCATTAACATTAAAAATAGCCTTTTTAATATGTTTCTACATACCTGTATTCTTAACATTAGCTTCCTATTATGTATTTCAATCTGTTTCCGTCGCTGCTCGCTCTGTTTCAACCTATTTACTTCATCCCGCAAACACTTGATATAGTCGACGCTACTCTTAAGAATAGTTCCTTTGTTCGGCCGCACGTCCCTAATAACTTCGTAAAAGGGATCATTGGTTTTAGGCAGTAACGTGCCTAATTCCTTTATCCGGTCGTTTATGTTGAAACGGCGACGTCTTTCAACTGAAAAGGAGATTGAAATCTTTGTAACCTTGAGGGTTATTACAAATTTATCATTTAATAGAAAAATATTGAAAATATATAATATTAAATGTAGGTTATATTGTTCTTTCACAAAATATACCAACTCATAAGATAACTATTTTGTAGCCCTTAACAATTTATATCATCGAAACATTTTTTAATTCAAAATCCATTTACGAATTTATTCTGTAGAGAAATAATGCAGATAAATGTATGGTTAGCGAAATGATAAGATATCTTATTCTTATATAGACAATTTTCAGGTTCACTGGAATGCGGGGACGACACGTTACGGGTGAGGAGCGAGTCAAAAACGTCCCATCAGTTTCTAAACTAGACTCAAAGTTTAATATTCTGATTTCTCAGTTAGGGAACTTTCAGATATTCAGCTCAGAACAGATACGATACTTTGATCTAAGCTAAAAACCGATAAGCATACATTCGCGGAGAATCTTAACACCACGATTCAGGATTGGGACTAAATAACAACGCCATCTCATTGATTGTGAAGGAACTACATAACGTGCAAGTTGCGTCGGACTAGGGGAAAGATGGCGTTATATGACACTGGCATTATAAGTTAATAATGTACTCACTCATATTATGATTGTCTTTCTTCTGTCTATCCTTGGCGAGGGCATGCATATCTGATTCGGTGAGGAGGGCGCAGTCTCCAGCCACTGAGCTGGCGGCCGACGGAGGTCCCGATGAGGAGAGTGGACCCGCGCCACTGTCTAATGATAGGATGTCTTCTAGGAACTCATCAGCCTGGAAAGAGTACATGTAGGTATAAAATATTATTTTAATTATTTTGCCATTGGCGTGCAATGCAGGAGATGTAATATAAACAAGATAATAATATTTTACGACTATTCGTAAGGTTTAAAATTACTCAAGACGTATATTGTATATTTAAATTAAATGTGACCATACACTAGTAGTTTCTCTTGTATCGTGGGTACTATTTATAAACATAAAAATCCACTTTTTTATAGTGTACCTTTGCCTTACAACTAGTAATAATATTAGTGTTTTTAAATCTGTCTTATGATACTGTCTTGCTGAAAAATCTATTGGTGTACGATTAGAAGTATTATTTATTCTGCAAATTCTCATGAAAAGCATGAATTGTAAGTTTGTTGTCTTTAAATTATTCTGACCTGATCTGATATCGCTTTTTTGGCAAATTCATATTCAATCTCAATTTACCTTAAAATTTCTAGATAACATAGAAATTTTAGTATATGAGGATTCTCAAAAGCTGATCGATTCGAACATTTGGATTTCGGCCATATAATATAAATTTTGGTAGACCGATGTCTTGATAGGATTACTGACTACAGAAAGCTTCCAACCTATCTATTGATCCAGAACAAGAAGTTGAATTGTAATATGTGTTACCTCTGAATTATTGCTAGCAGAGGGTATGCCGGGCGAGCGCAGCGAGGAGGAGGGCCGCTCCGGGGAGGAAGCGCGCCGCGTGCCCAACTCCGGCGCAGATTGTGTGGGTGCACATCGCGGTGACACCTGTAATTTGAATAAAATTTATATAAATATGGACGGAAGCCCTTCAGAAGCTAAACTTCAAACTAGATAGACCTAAGTCGATTCAAACTGAAATAAGAAAAGAACTTATATAATATTTTTTAAATTTTTTAAATTATTATAATAAATTATTCTTCTTTCCATCAGTTTTCACATTTCTGCATCACAAAGGTAAGTTAACTCGATGAAAATGTGAAAAACATCCTTTAATTTAGGTACCTTTAATACTATTTTTTAATGGTCCTTGCAGGGCTTTGTCGCAAAGACGGAGAAGTTACCTTTTTGGACTTTATTATTAAAGTAACAAGTACTATGGTAGAAGAATATGTTTAGTAAGGTAATGAGGTAGGTAGAACTAAAGATAATGCTGTACCTGTGTCTGGGGTTGAAATGATTCACTGAGATACTGACGCACTTGACTCTTCTGCTTCTGTATCACGTGATACCTGGTGGGGTTCTCCAGAACTGTTCGCACCTGGAATATTTACAGAATACAATTATAAGTATTGGCATGTTGAGTGGTTGTAGGTGCAAAGACTATAAGAAGATAAAAGTTATGTTATAAAAAGTTAAGGCGATTTAAGGGTCTTTGGGTTCCATTTTTGACTTGGTAAAGTAGAACACGGATTTTTTTAAGGAAGGAAAAATCATCCAATGACTTCTCTTGTCTAGCGTATGGCGAGGGGTGTTGAGACTCTTACTGACTAAAATATAAATTATAAAATGACTCAGCAACTATGATACGGTTTTAACGTCACACGAAGTTACGTGTGACGTAACTGCAACTGCAACACGTAGTTGTGTGCTTAAGCGTTGCCTACCCGAAGAATACATAATTGCTGTGTTTGGGTGTTTCTGGTCCATGACTAACTATGACCTTCAAAAAAAGGCCGAACTCCTCTTTATCATTCGGCATGGCACTTGTTTTTGACTCCTCAGGTCTACTCCTTGTCACTTTCTTCATTTAATTGATAAATTATTCTGTACATACCTGTAATACTTGTGGCGGTAGGTCAACGTGAGGCGTGATCCGCGGCACCTCCGCCGGACTTGACTTCTTCTTCTCCTCATTGTCCTTGGACTGGCCTGCTTGTTGTGCCTGCAAGTAATAAATACAGTCATTTGTTTAATTATTGTCACCATATTCATATTCATATTCATATTTATTTGCATTCCACAATGTATAAGAGGTGTTACAGAATGGCTTAGAGCTAAGTACAATCGTGGACCCTGTAGGGCACAGCAAAATAAAACTTACATCTAAAATTAAAACAATTAAAATATATATTAAAACAATTAAAATTAATATATATATATATATATATATATATATATATATATATATATTGTCCATATATATATATATATATATATATATATATATATATATATATATATGTATATATATGAAAATTCAATAAATGTATCATGGTAATGTGCTTGTTGTTATGCGTTATGTTGTATATGGACAATGTTGTTATCATTTATATATTCATCAATTGAGTAGTAGGCTTTGTTGATGAGGATATTCCTGAGTGCGCTTATGAACTTAGTTTCGTTAGTTTCATTTTTTAAAGAATCTGGTAATTTGTTAAATAATTTAATGGACATTACATAAGGGCTATTGCTGTGAAGTTTCATGTGTGAAGAGGGGTGCATTAGCATGTTTTTGTGTCTTACTGGCCGATCTCTATGTTTATTTCCACGGGTTGTGAAAAAGTTTGTATTTTTTCTTACAAATTTACATATTTCTAAGATATAAATAGATGGTAATGTTAATATTTTATATTTTATATTTTATGTAAACTGGTTTGCAGCTATCGGTTTGCTGTAAATTAACTATTATACGAATTAATTTCTTTTGAAGAATGAATAGTGTATGGGCATCAGTACTGTTTCCCCACATAATAATGCCGTAGCTGAGCCATGAGTATGCGTAGGAGTAGTAAGTGGTGAGGGCGGTTTGTATGTCGGTAGTTTTTTTAACTTCTCGTAGTGCGTAACAAAATTTTGAGATTTTTGAGTGTATATGTTTGATGTGTGGTTTCCAGGTAATGTGCGTATCTATGATGAGACCTAATAATGAAAAATTGTTAACGACCTCTATTTGTGTGCCGTCAGCTGTTAGGTTAACAGTAATTGGAGCTTTTTGTCGTGGATGAAAGGTCATTACTTTTGTTTTTTTATAATTTATTTCGAGGTTGTGTTCAGTTAACCACTTTGTTGTTTTATTTAATATTAAGTTTAACTGTTCAGTTATATCATTGACGTTCTGGCTAACAGTGAGTAAGGATATGTTATCTGCGAATAGCACACATGGTTCATCCATTATTTTTGGTAGGTCGTTGATGTAGATAATGAACAGGAGGCATCCAATGACACTACCTTGTGGGATTGATGCATTAATAATCTTTTTGTCGGATCTTACATGTGTTATTTGTTTGAGGTCGTGATCAAAGTAATCTATTTCATACAGATAGATAAGCAGAATAAATTATTTGAATTTAGTTTTATGCCATTTTGCAAATGGTTTTACGTCATTATGATAGATCTGATTTAAGATGATGACGAAATTAAAGGAATAGTAACAAAAATGGCTCGATATATTTTAATTAAAGAAGGAAAGGACCTTAAAGTAATTCACGATCAAAGGAACAAGAGTTTATAATAACTTGATTTAAAAATATGAAGCGTTCCAGGTCTGCAGTCTAAGATTATCATACTAAAAATTTTGGTGAACACAATGACGTAGATAAACCTCGAAACTAAACACGGAGTGCTAAAGAAGTACCTCAAATGAATGAATCAAACAAAGTCAATAATTTAACAGGAATTACATAAGTGGATAAAGACAACTGTACTAAAAGGATTACAAGTAATGAAGAGCATGTGATACTGAAATTAAATGATCCTAATAAGGAAAGTGATAATACAGGAACTTTGCTTACACAATTTGCATGGATACACTATAAACATTGAATATTTGATGAAGTTTACGCCGAAGGCAGTAAAATAAAAATTGTTGATGTAGGTCTTGGTTTAAAAGATAAAGAATTAAAAGAAAAAGAACAGATGATAGACAAAGATTACAGCATTTTTTTTGAAGCAGTTGATTAAAAAAAAAGATCTGATTTTAGCAAAAGATGCAATGATACACAACATGTCATTATTCTATATCTATAGTTATACTAATATTATAAATGCGAAGGTAATTCTATCTGTCTGTCTTTTCTTCACGCCTAAACTACTGAATCGATTTCTGTGAAATTCGGTGCAAACATAGTTTGGAACTGGAGAAAGGACATAGGATAGTTTTTTAACCAAAAATCCGCAGGAAGTCACTATTCCAAGCGAACGGAGTCGGGGGCAAAAGCTTTAGGTATATTATATAGATAACAAATTCCTTAATACAACACTAAAAAAGAGTTTAGCCAGTGAATACTATAGTAGTGCTAAACCTATGTGGGAACATAAATAATACCTTCTAGCTCCTCGAATTTATTATGCACATGTGCACTGCACAGGTTCAGTAACCTAAGGGACACCATGAGTCAGGTTTTCCCCAGCACTAGACTAGTTGCGTGGGAGTTTTACCGACAAGATTCACTTGGTGATTTTATATCTGTCTTGCGATCATACAGGATGAACATACATTCAAACAAAACATAATTTCAAAGTTATTGCGAGTAGCAATAACTTTGAAATTATACCAGTTTATATCTCAGTTAGCTGATGTTTGAAGAGGGAATGTTTTGTATCGCTTTTTCCTTAAGCCTAGTATTTAAAAAAAAAAAAGATTTATAGAATTACATGGTGAAGAATGAAGAAAAATGTTATGGTCGTGATGATTTTTACCCTAAAATTTATATAGATTATAAAATATCCTATTGATATTATTATAGGTATAACATAAAAGTTTGTAAATATAGATGGCTGGATATTTGTTACTCTTTCACGTAAAACTACTGAATGGAAATCTAAATGAAAGCTACAGATACAGATCTTAGTTTAGAATGACACATAGGCTACTATTTACCTTGGTAATGTGGGCGAAACGGAAGGAAAATATAGTAGAAGATACAGTTGAAGTTAGCGTTATGTAAAATACGATCCACTAAAATCGAAAGCTTGTTTATTTGTATAATACATCTTTAAGCTGTATCTACTGAACCAACTTTTTGAAATGATATTATAACAAGCTTCCGTCTGCGACTTCGCACGATTTGAAAAACAGCAGTACTTAAAGGTTCGACTAAAATACGTAAATCAAGTATTATTTATGTTATATAGCAGTAACGAACATTGTTACTTTCTTTATTCATTCACTGGTAGATATCAGTGAAAGAATTTGGAAATCCGACCAGCCATTCCAAAGATTACCCCCTCCATACTAACTTATGAATTTTACCTTTTTATTTTATTAGTATAAATAAGTCAAGTATAAAGAAGAGGCTACCTACTTGTAAAGATTCTCTGCGCAGTTGCTCCTGTGCATGTTCTCGCATCAACTGTTGTTTCAATTGTGTGCGAGATGTCGGCGTCAATGTCTTGAACGTAGGCGGGCTGTAACAACCAGAATATGTACGTTAATATTGTTATATGAGGAACAGGATCACACAAAATGATTGCTTACAATTGGTCAATTAGATTATGACACTGAAAAGAAGAAAACATTTTTATTTCTGATACAAAACAAAGCAACCCTTTATAAGAAACATCAATCGTATTGTCGTAGCTAGGCAGTGCCAATTGTAATCTAAGCGTTGTCATATTTCCTCATTCAAAAAGATTCATCACCTATACTCAGCATCGTAAGGTACTATCAGATCTTTTCCGAGCAATATTCATTCTTCTATCATTCCCATCATCATCATCAAACGTCATCTTACTACAAATACATCTTTTCTTTCATTTATCTGGTATTTCTGTGCATCCATCCATTAGACAGTTTTTTTTAATCAAACAGCTAGGATTTTGCTCCTGTGTCGCGGGTGAGTCACAAACCACCCAGGCCGAAACAACAATTAGTGGATCACACAAAGTGGCGTTCCTTGCACAGCCACTACGTCAACCGTGCAGTCTTCAAAAGGTAATAATAACTTAAACAAAAATGACACAATATGCACATTATTGAGCTTACAATATAAATAAATATAAGATTGCATAAAATTGTATGACAGACAATATTTAAAGATGGCGGTCGTGTGAAAACAAGACGTGTTGTCGTGGACTAACGGGTAAGTTTATCCTCGATCCGAGTACACGCGTCCTAAGGTGCGCAGGCGCATACTAATCCGTCGGCGCTTGAGTTAACATACAAAAGGGAAATTTGTTTCTACCAAATCGATTTATTTGTTTTTAATGTTTTATAGTACTTACATATTTATTATGATACACAGTTTATGAATTTGATATTCTTTATTGTGTTGATTTTAGATCTTTTAGGAATGATAAAAGGGTAAATGCAAGTCACACAAAGTAGCAGCCAGTGTTTAGGAACGGGTGTGGTGGATTGGAGTGGTTTTTAGTCAGTGAAAGTCTGACATTCACTCAGTGCAGATTTATTGATGATTATCCCCCCTATAAAAATGTAAGAAAAAGTATAGGGAAAATGACTTCATACATACAAATCATGGTACATATAATCATGATACATGGTACCAACTGCATGCAAACTTACTCATTTAATAAGACACGACATTAGGAATATATAAATAAACATAAATATAAGTGTACAACATGTCTTAAATGTCAAATGGGTAGTGTAGTGACTTCACATTGGTGACACGCACGATTATGAGGGGATCCCTGCCATGAACTATAAGAAACAAAAAGGTAAATGTGAAACAAAACAATATGCGAAGCTAGTTAGTTTATCATATACAATCCTACTATCCTACTAACTCTACTATCCTACCAATCCTACTGTCGTACTAATATTATAAATGCGAAAGTTTGTGAGAACGTGTGGATGTATGTTTGTTATTCTTTCACGCTAAAACTGCTGGACCGATTTGGTTTAAATTTTGTATGTAGATAGATGAAAACCTGGATGAACACAGGCTGCTTTTTATTAACATACTGCGCGGATGAACCCGGTTACGGAAGCTAGTATTAAATATTTTACAACTCATATCTTAGATACATGAATAATTCCCGTTCTTTTTTACATATATAAGCTTAATCTGTATTATAATGTGTCTAAAACCAAATGACGAAAATTATACGCCATGTAAGGATGTAATAATAGCATTTACGTACATTCTGATGACCCTGCTACGATAATTTTGATGGAGCTATTATGAAATGTCATTTGATGTGTTATTACATCCGAGGATTCGCAATAAAACTATATTTGCATCTAGCATTTCCGCCATTCATAAAAATTGTACATCTATGTTTGTTGAATTGTTGGTGAATACCGTTACTATTGTCTTAGGAATGGAGGATGATGATGTTTATATATCCATATCTCACAAACTTTGAGATATTCAGAGGAACATACAATTACAAAGAATGGGCACTCAAAAGAACATATGTATGTAGCTCTACTAACGAAATAATATTCTTTCACTAACTTAATAAGTAGGAACACTTGTCTTCCATTAGGACAAAGACGACTTGAGCTCAAAATTATAGTATCTACATAAAGTAGTGTTGGTATTGACGGGAATTAACGGTCAAGGCTCACTTGTCGGCCACACATGCGCAAGAGTCGGTATACGGGCAAATTATGCCAATGTGTTATACATGGCCGCTACTCAGTTATGATTGGGCCGCGGATCTGTTTGTTAGATTTAGTTTAATTTACATTTAAATTATCTTGCTCTAGACATTACAAAGAAATATTCTCAAGTCGTAGTGATTCAGAATTTAAGCTTTGATTTGCGAGGTGCATTTCACGAATCCTAAAATCACCTGCTTAAGTTCATTTAGACGTTATAGGGAACTGAAATAATAATGAAAAAACACCATGAGGAAACCTGGACTTAGAATTAAATTATCAACTGTTACACCTTAGAATTTGTCAATCAGACCACAGGCAATTGGTGCTTAACCCTTCTCCGAGATAAAAGACAAGAGATGTCTGTGCTGCGTAAGGACATTTTCAAGTTGATTTATTAGTACAGAAATATTCTAGATAGTAAATTATCAACCTAGTTTACATTTAGACCTTATTTAAACATGAGGGTATGGTGGTATGCAGCGATAACTTCCTGAAGACTCATATACACTTTGACTGCAGATTTTCATGACTATGTTTTAAGTTAGTTTGTTAGTTAGGGCTAAAAGAAAATTTGTTTACTTCTTAATATTGTACGTGTAGGCTTATAAAATTTACAAAGCACTAAAAGTACATATTGAGTAAAATGTTATAAAATGGGTGAATGGTTATTAGTTATTACATAAATAGGTACTAAATAGTTATTGGTGTTGTTATTGAATGCACGTGACGGGTTAAAAGCGGTGCGTTATCGACAAACAGGTTTATTGTGTTGTTCCACTTTGATGGAAATTTGTTTTAAACGTCAAATTAAGAATTGATACTGTATTGATTGTTTAATATGTCGTAATTAGTAAATTCAATGTATATAGATTTAAAACTAGCGTAGTGGCTAGCTTCGCAGGCTGGATTCCCGCTGGTAGCTCGCCGCCCGACCAGAACCAGACCCGAGCGTACGGCGCGTAGCGTTACGCGCGCGGCTCGAAGAGCCAATAGACCACCACAGACGGGGCCCTATAGGGCTGATGTTCAGCCGGGGTTGCGGGGTAAGCGCAATGAGGCACCGCGACCTCGGCCTATAGCAGGAGTCGGAACAGGGGGGTTTTTAGTCAGTAAGAGTCTGACACTCCCTCCCGCCTGCCCCAGGCCGGGAGAAGTCATTTGATGACTTTCCCCTCACAAAAAAAATAAAATAAAAAATAATAAAAAAAGGCTGGATTCCCGCTAGTAACAAATTGATGTATGATGAACAATAGATGACAAATTGATTGACGCCATAAAGGAAGAAAAATATCTCATCAGATATGGATTTGAGGATTGGAATATTTGGAAATTAACAATGGGGAAAAGGTGAAGACTGGGCCTTCGGTAACCTCATGCACACGATATACATCCCAAGGTGATGGACATCCTAAGCGTGCTTTACGACAAATTTCTGTGTAGTTCCTCCACTTAAACCTATTTTCTCACTCATTCAACCACTTTTACGGTTAGCATAAATAATACGAATGATGCATTCATTCCGTTTGGCTATAAGCAAGCCCATCATCATATCACCAGGGAGATTAAGGTGTGAGAAGAAAAAAGTGCAATCATCTTTATCGAATCTTGGCACCAGTTCCAACACTATATTATTTGCACAATGATACACTTTGTGCCAACGACACACATATTACAAGACTGAATGATTTTGTTCAGTCTTCTAGCAATGGAGTGTGTTAAGAATGGACAGTTAAACTCTTTTAACTACTATTATTAATTATTGAACTTAGTTCAGAAGTGATTGACAGAAGTTAATGTATGAAACGAACAGAAATCGGTGGTTGGTTTTGGCTCCAAATCATACCGGTGCCTTTTTTGTAAGTGGAAAATAATCACACGACTTCTCTCACCCAGGGTAAGGCAAGAGGAAGGGTCAGTCAGACTCATACTGACAAAAACCACCGTTCCTTCTTCTGCTCCAAGCCCAAACTGCGGTACCTTATTGTATTTGCCCCGCGACCCCGGCTGAATATCTCTCTTTGTCGGGCCCCATCTGTGGTGGTCTGTTGGCTCTTATGGCTAAGATTTATTTTCTATTAATTGTGGCATTACAGTAATATGTTAGTATGTATACTTAACACCACGAACAACGTGAAATAACTTTTATTGTCCATGAATCAGAGTTCGCTGTTGAACTTGAAACTAGTAGAGCTTTTCTCAGTTAATTCACGACGAAGTCATTATTTCGAATTATTTTTATATGTCTCACGATAATTACTCGTGCACAATATGGTATGCACAATAGCAAAAAGATTTCCATGTTTTAAGACAGAAGCAGTAGGTCAAACTACCTATCAAGAATACAATCTTATACAAAGGCTGTTGATATAATTATGTACAATATGCATACAGGAGCAACAGAAAATTCAAAGAAAACGTATCATATTTTAATAATATCGTAGATACAGGTTGCTTATCAACCGATAACCATCTTTATGTATGTTGAGTGTTATCGTGCGTACAATCAGCTGTTGAAATTGGGTCATGTATCGAAACATTATACACGATGTACTGTCGAACGAACTCCATAATCAGAAACAAATCTTGCTTCCCTTTTAGACGCCCTTGGATTATTAAGATTAGGTATATGTAGACTAGCAACTTACCCCGACTTCACAATGCAATGGTCATACTACTTTTCTCCACTATATAGTAAATGTACATACATATAAACCGTACCAAAATCAAAAATGGATATAGGGACAGAGAAAGCGACTTAGTTTTATACTATGTAGTGAAGACATACCGATCTGAATTGACTTATGTGCTGAAAATTTCACCCTTAACTAACATAGTA